TTTTATTATATATTCTACTTTATTATTGTTGTGTTTTGTTTATCTTATTTTATTTTTAAAATCATATTAATATAAAGTATATGTAAATTTATATGTTCATATATTTTCAGTTTGCATTAATTTTTCAGTCAATTATTATCTCAAGTTTCATTCATTTAAATTTTGGCTATAACCTATATATATTTATTTATTTATTTAATTTGCAAGACTTACCTTAAAGTTCCTTAGCAGCTGCTGCCGATTGCGTAAATCCAAATGTAAGCGAGTTAAAAGATTTGAGACACCTGTGCACACTTTTACACCTGTTGCATATCTATTAGTATATGAATTGAAACAATTTGTGTTTTGTATTTAGCTCGATTGGCAACCGTTTCAAAATGCATAAAACACGCGCAGGCGTTACGACTTAGTACAATACAATGTGAAGAAAACGGGCACAGAGCAAGGCCCAAGTAGCGATATAAGAAACACAACCGAACGCATCGAAGCTCGAGACTCAACTGCCGGCAGCTTTTGCGACGACTTCTGCAAGCGGCGCTCAAAAGTTGCGCCATAAAAGAAAAGCTCTCCGAGCATCATTTGCATGCGTGTGCTAACAGTAGGAGAGAGCGAGAGAGGTAGAGCGCGAGAGCTTTTGCATAGCAAAAACAAGTTTTAGGCATTAATTTGCAATGCAAATAATTTCAGTCTTTAACTTCATTTAGCTCATTAAGCTCTAGGAGCAAAGAGAAAAGCTATCTTTAGCGGCAATTCAAAGCTCTTTCTCAATGTCTAACTGCACTCAAGTAAAATCAATTTGGGTTCTCTTTAAATTTGTAGTAGTTTGTATTTTATTCATAAGTTCTGCTCTATTGCTTTGTAATTTATAAAATGTAAAATACGTATTAAAGCTGTCCAAAAAAAAATGGATTTGAAATAATTTCGTGTGTGTTGGAATGCATTAAACAATTGCACTGGACATTAATTTCTGGGACAAAGTACAAAAAACAGAAATAAAAAATATTTGAGTACAAAAAAAAAAAAAAAAAAAACAATATTAGTGCTGTCTAAGTGTTAACATTAGCGTATGAATATTTATAAACAATATCTATACCAATATCAGTTATGCTCAGACGTTAAGTAAAATGCTTTGCTTTTCTTTATCATGTTCATTACATTTGTTTTTTGCTTATGTTTTTTTCGCTTAGTTAGGTGAGTAATTTGGTTTAAGTTTAAACTTGTAGTTGTTTGTTTTGTTTTGCTTTTTTCGTACGTTTTTCATTTTGTTTTGCTTTATCAACTGGTACAATTACGAAACATTAATTTACTTTTACAATTAATAATTGAATGACGACGCTTATTAAAGTTAGCCTCTTTAAACTGGATCCACATCATTCACGACCAGGGCGCAGAGTACGTACATCATTCCAGCGCTAAGCATCGCTGTCACCGGCACCGTGACTATCCAGGCGTAGGCGATGTTCCGGAACAAGTGCCAATCGACGCTGCCATCCTCCATGGCTTCCCCAGCAGCTGGCGGTGCTGCTGCATGCTGCTCCTCCAATGGCCCGCCCAGCTCCTTCTCGTGCTCCTTACGTTCGCTCTTGCGACCCGCTGCACTCACATGACCCACGAAAACCACCGAACCCACTTTGCAGTGTGTCGTCGAAATGGGCAAACCAATTTTGCTGGCCAGCAGTACGGTGATGGCGGCGCCTATTTCAATGGTAAAGCCTCTGCAAATCAAAAGATAATGAGCCAATTTCATTACGATATAATAAATCAAAGTGGAACATGAAATAGGATAACCGAATCTCTCGCTCATTTACTCACTTTTTCTCTCTATCTGTCCAAGTCTTTTTCTTATGTCTCCATTTATTTTTATGTCACTGGCCTTTCTCTTCTGTCCCTCTCTTTATGTTCCTATCGGTCGCTCTACGGCTTTCTCTGTGTCTGCGTCTCTGTTTTCCTGTCTCTCTCTCTCTGCCTCTTTGTTCACATATATGAGCTTCTCATAAAGAGTTCCTTGACTCTCCCATTTCATCTCCCTATCCTATAGTTTTCTTTCGAATCATTCCCTTTTCCCCACAATCATATTAGCTCTTCGTTTCCATACTTACGTTGATGAGGTGATCTTTGTTAGGTCATTGCCAATGGTTTCGATGACCCTGCGTCCCCACAGCCAGAGACCCACGGAGATGCCAATGCCGCCGTAGATCAATATATAAATGGGACTTTCTGCTTTCTGCATTACGGAGCCCTCGCGATAGATCATATAGAGAGCGATGAGTGGTCCAATGGCGTTGCTAACATCGTTGCCGCCATGCGCAAAGCTGCCAAAGGTGGCCGTCAAGATTTGAAGGAACGAGAAGAGCATGGACACCTCCTGGGTTTCCTGGCTGCTACTGGCACGTCGACCCGCTGCACGCTTAAACTCCTCCTCCTGCTCATTGAGCGCCTCCTTGCTCTCGATGAGCGGCACCTTGCTCGAGTTTGGCGACAATGTGGTGCTGATCATTAGATCCAAGCTGCCGGCACTTTGCACCACCTGCAAATTGTTGTTGGTAGCATTGGCAGCTGTACTCGCATTAGCATTGACATTGGCATTAACATTGACATTAGCGTTAGCATTCGCACTGGCATTGCCATTGACGTTGTCCACTGTGTCCGTCTTGCGCTCCTCCTTGGGCGATTGGACACGCTTGAAGCACTCCTGGAGCTTGCGTCCATTCTGCTGGTGCTGCAATTGCTGCTGCTCATCGATGTAGTTCAGGCTGGTCACGGTCAGATCGGGATTATCCAGACTGGCCTTGCCCAGCAGATCCTCGGCCTTGCGTATTATATCTGGATCGATCTTGTAGTCCTCGGCAGTTGCATTGTTATTCTTGGCCGCGAGGCCATAAGGCGCTAGCTTAAAGGTCTTCGGCGAATTGTCGCTGAGCGAGACCAGCTCGGTGATTTCGGCAATAGCCGGCAGTGGTTTACCCTCGCTAACAAGCGAAAGCGGACGGCGCTGCTTCTTCGGACTGCCGGACGGCGAGGACTCTACGTAAAATCGCAATCGTGAGTAAATGCTGCATCTGCATCAGCGGCTGCTACTCAATCGGCTCTCCACTTACCCACAGAGTCCTCGAAATTGAACTTGACCGGATTCTGGGCGCGCAACTTCTTGGCAATCGAGCGTCGCTGCAGCGGCACCACCACCAGCTGCGTCAAGAGCGCCACCAGCAGCGAGAGTGCGACGCTGACGCTCAACGCTATCCAAGTGGGAATGTTATCCATATAGAGCACTAAAGATTAAGTACACAAATTCAAATTGTTCGGTTACTCAATCGCAACTTCTTCTTCTTTGCTTTCACTTACATTTGGGCCCATCCAGCACCACGCTGATGACATTAATGAAGAACGTAACGCCGTAGAAAATGGGCAGCGAACGGAAGCCCGCCTTGAGTGGCTCCTGAGCGCGCAAGATGAAGCGGCGTATGGCCAGAAAGAGTAGAATGCTGACGAAGCCGCTCATCACTGGCGAAATGAACCACGAGCCAACGATCGTGCACAGCGTCGACCACTTCAAGCCCTGCACGCCGCGGGCCACCAGCGAGAAGCCAATGGTGGAGCCCACAATGCTGTGCGTTCCCGAAATGGGCAGCTTCAGAAATGTCGCCACCAGCAGCCAGATGGCGCTGCTCGCCAACGCGGACATGCAGCCCAGCATGAGCACCTCCTCGGCGCCCTCGTACAGGCTCACCTCCAGAATGCCCTTTCGCATTGTATCCGACACCTTGTAGCCTGCGCAGCATGGAAGACAAAAGAGATATGATGTCAGATTTTATATTCATAAGCATAAGCAGCAGACATAAACCAATAAAAATCGAACATTCTTAGAGCAGGAATCAACAGCTTAGCTTTATAAGATTATTAATTTTAACCTATATTAAAGCCGAGTCAACATTGATGTGATAAATGGCGACAAATTTACCCTCCACTTCGGACTTGACTGAGCTTTAAGTAACGCCATATATAAATGTTTCGAAAAGACTATCAAATCATTTGGCTCAAGATCTTTCAGAGGGCCAACTAATAAACAGCCTAGTAAACACCTCTCTTTAAGGTCTACTGAAAAAGTAGCCTATACTATTAAAGCTCTTAATGAACTACTTAAAGCTCTGCTCATGATGCTATATGTGCTTTGTACTTACCAATTAAAACAGCGCCCGAAATTTCGCAGACGGTGGCCAAGACGCAAGCCTGACGTATGGTCAGAACGCCAGAGCCGACGCTAGTGCCAAAGGAGTTGGCCACGTCGTTGGCGCCGATGCCAAAGGCCAAGACGAAGGCAATGAGAAAGCCAATGATTACCATCCATAGCAGATCCGCTGAATAGCTCTCCATGATTACAACAAACTCACTTTTTCGCAAGGGAAACAAAAACACAACAAACAACTCTAGCCCCTATTCACACAGCCTAACCGTCTCGCTGTCTGTCTGTCTGTCTGTCGGACTGTTCTTGGAACTCTTTAACTAGTGTTAAATATTGAAAATTTAATGAAATTATTATAGTGTTGTGTGATGTAGAGGAAATGAAATATTACGAATTTTGTGCAAAGAAAATTAGTGCTCTTGGGGAAAACTATAAAATACAATACTACAATAATAAATGATATACGGAAAAATAATCTTAATTATTAATAATTGAAAAGTTCTTTTCAAATATTCTCTAAACAGCCATATTTGCGCTTAGACTTCATTGTTGTTATTTTCATAATGAAAAACTGAAGTAGACGCGTGCAGCACACCGAATTGAGGATACGCTGTAATCTGAGCGAAAACACCTGACGTCCTCTGTGAGCCCTTCCCTCCCTCAAGCTGAAGCTGAATGCTCAGCGCGACCTGCCTAAAAGTATGCAATAAATTACGTTAGCCTAAACACAAAACTTAGTGCTAAACTGGACTGGACACTAAATACTGATTAGAATAGATTATATTAAGTATAAAATAATAAAAACTTTGCACCCCCTCCGACTGTCTTGCTCGCGCTCTCTCTCTATCTCTCTCTCTTTCGATCTATAACTAACGACGAAATTCCAAAGCTCTAGTTGGAATCGAATGAAAAACTTAAAGTAAGTTTTCCTTTCCTGTTATTCGTCTTGTTGTTGTTGTTGATTGAGTGAAGTTAGTATTGTTGTTGTTGCTGTTGTTGCAAAGTAGTTTCTTGTTATGTTGAATAGGAGCTGATGGTAGTCGACTTGGTTAACTGTAAAATTGAGTGTGATGAAATCTTGATGTCAAAATTTGTTGTCCACTTTATCACTTACCTGACGTTTGGGACAGCAAATTTGTTTCCACGTCAAAGGGCTATTCACCATGTCTGCAATAAATGGAGAATTGTAAATATGAGATATAATTCCAGACCATTCTTATATCTAAATCTTTTCKGCTATAATATATTTTTAATATTATTTAAGTTTAATTTTTGTTTTGTACAATGTAATCAAATCTATTTCAAATTAAAATATTTTCATATATTAATAAGGTATATCTTATTACCTAAACTAAAACACATATAGTCAGGTATTTAACTGGGACTTTCTTAAGTTTCCATATGAACTACCCTTGATATAGCTGCTGCCTAATGAATATAAAATATATCTTGCACTTGTAAATAACGGCGATATTCCCGACTCTGCTCCTGTGCGTACCCAGTGCGCTCTTCAATTGGAACAAGTAAAAAAGCTCTAGTCGAGACTACTCGACTACGAGATCCCCTGAACCCTTGGAGCAATAGATATTTCATAAATTTTTCGCGTCTTTCAGCTTACACAAGAAACACGCACACACACACACACACACACNACGGACAGACGGACAGACGGACAGACGGACAGACGGACAGACGGACAGACAGACGGACAGGGCCAAATCAACTCAGCTCGTCACCCTGATCAAGAATATATATACTTTGTGGGGTCTGCCACGCCTCCTTCTCCCTGTTACATACATTTCAACAAAACCATTATACCCTGATTTCCCATTGAAAATGGGTTCAGGGTATAAAAACGAACTCAGGAAAAATTGCATATTGCTGAAACTGGCGCAATTTGGTTGTGCATTAAGGTCGCGCCCCACTGAGCACGTGTCCCACGTGCCTGTTAAGCTGCATGTGAATTATTTCAATGGGCTATTCATGCTCGTAAATGTCGGTCATTTGATTATTGATGTTGGCTAATAAGTATAGGAATGCTTGAACTGACCAGTTATCCGGTGTAGTTAGAGCTGCCTAATATAGGTCAGGCTTGTATAGATATATAACTTAATAAATGTCTCGTACATAGTGTTTTAATAACAATGATCATGATTATGATAATGACAATGCGCGCAGTTATCCAATATGTTTTTCAGATGCTAACAGCCCAAAGCCTAAGGTAGGTTGAAATTCTACAAATTTAGAATTTTAAAAATGTCTCCCACAAAGCTAACGATTATAATAATGAGCAAGATAATGACTATGACAATGATCATAATAGCTTCTAATTGCTTCTACATATGCCGTGATATTTCAATAGATATTATTGCTCTCAATTAACAGTTTCGATAGTAAACTGTCAAGAATATTTTATTAAAAAAAACTTTACAAGAATTAATTAAACCATGAGACTTGATATGCCTCCCATAGGACAGCTGAAAACTATTTAAACAAAGGCGGGCTGCAGACAAAAGAGCGCCACAAAAGAGACCCAAAGGACGCAGGATTAAGGGGCAAGGGGCAAGGGGGCAAGAGGCGCCAACTACTAACCAGGACAATGGCTGCTTGGCTGCCTGCCTGCTGGCCAAGGTCGACACGTTGACATATGCTCGCCATATTTCCAGTAAGTAACGCCCTCCACAACCTCTATATGTACTATAACACTGATATAACCGTAGTTCTCACAATAATAGTTGGCAATTTATGGCATGTTTTGAATCGTTTGGCTATAAATAAATACTACAGCGCACGCCACTGAGGTTTGAGCAGCATTGCAGTGGCGCTAAAACTATTTTTGGGCAGTGGGTATACCCCACCTCCAGCAAAAAAGTTCTATTTATAAATTACATTACGTCAAATTATATTTATGACTGAACATGAAATCATATTGCTGCGACTAATTGATTTTTCATTTTACACGCAAAATCTATAAAGTTCGGCATACCCCATTTTAGTACTGCCAATCACAGAGTATATAGCTAAATTATTGATGCAAATACTATGATTTTTAACGATCCCATAAAACGGAAATCAAGTGTGTGTTTCATAAGAATTGATATTACAGCTAACCCACAGTGTGATAAAAAACCATTTACATTGAGCAATTCAAGTATTACAAGAATATTATTGATAAAATTATTATTTACATTTGAAATTCTATCTGACCTTACGATATATTGGAAATACATATGGAAAACATTTAAAAACATTATGTATTTATATATA